CAGAATTCCGTGGAGTGCGATCCTTCGCCACAGTTATCACAATGGCGCGTCTGTTGTGGTCTTCCAAAGTCTGTTTTTGGCGGCGGTCTGTACTCCGAGTTCGGAGGCCTCCAGCCGGAATTCTCCATAATTCGATAGACTTCTGAAGTGACGTCTTGTTTCCGAAGCATCGTGTTTCCGTCAAGGATATCTCCAGACAAACCATCAACGTCCTTGTCAGAAACAGACTCTCCAAATGATACTTTCGGATGCGTACCTTCAACGGCTTGATCAAACAGAACTTGTTGCTCATCATCACTCGCAAAAGCCTCATCCTCATTGACGTTGTACACCCGGCTGTGGTTCTTCTGTCGTTGCCAATTCCCGAATGCGCCCTCCGCCTTTCGGTCGTTACCCTTCGGAGGGTGCGCTTCGCGGTCATCACTCCACCAGATTTCTTCATGCTGCTTCAGGATATGTTCCAAGTCCTTCAGACTGCGAACCGGCTAACCTTGCAAAGTTGACCTCAGTTGAGTATCCTTCAACTTCTTGATGAAGACTTTCAGGTGTCGGTCGCGTGCGGTGTCTGTAGACTTGACGTCAATGTCCGCTTTTCCTTTGGAAAGTCGTGTAGTAGTATTCGGAATCTGGAGTCTTCGCCTTGCAATACTCTTCACGGAAGGCTTTCACAAAGCGCATCCAACTTCGACGCACAGATTCGTCCAAATTCCCACGTCAGTCACGAACAGCCGAAGATAGCTTCAGCTTGCAATAATAAACCTTTGCATGGTCGGACCACCTTCCCATGACTGCAAGGCTTTGGAACTTCTCCAACCAGCGCCCAATGGTTGCTTCTCGTCAAAATCTTCGAGTGCTGTGATGTTAACCATTGGGTTAAACATAATTGTCCCTTGGCCGGTCGCACGAGTCTGCGTCCCAGACGCGAGATCTTCAAACGAGCTGCTGTCGGAGTCACTGTCTCCGGACTCCTTATCGGAGTCGTTCTCGTCGTCCGAGGGCTCGTCATCCGGAGGACCGTGTTTCACTGCAGGCTGACTTGGTGGAGTCGACTTCTTCTTAAAGTCATCCTTCTGCCGTTCCTTCTTTCTTTGATCTGGCTTCTTTGCGCTCCTCTTACGAGACTTGTCCTCCACAGGTGCCTTTTGGACATTCGTCGGCGCCTCTGCCTTCACCGCTGTCGTCGTTGCCGCCTTAGCGATTCGGACATCCGCCGTCGCCTCAGTCTTCACCGCTGTCGTCGTTGCCACCTTAGCGGTGGCTGCGCGCGACGTTCTCTATGGTCTCTCAGGGCGACTTGTGTCTGAGTGGCGTAGAGCGTTTTGGCTTCTGGCGATATCATCTGTTTTCTCGGAACAGGTGGACACCCATGATTACGCCACTTGAGACTGGCTTCCCAGTTGTCAAATCAGAGTTCACATACACCTGAGTTGTCACTTCGGGGACCGGTTTCAACCCATTGTCACGCACTCCTTGACATTCCGCTTGCTTCTTCAGACGCCCGACGAGGAACGACTGCAGATTCTTGTTGGCCTCGTGTTCTTGGTCACGCTCCATCCGCACGGAAATCCTTCTCGAAAGCGGCCATCTCATCCAAGTGTTGTCGTCGCTGTGCCTCCATATGTGTTTCAGCTCGAAGCTAGTAGTCAGCAAAGCGGGACTCCAGTGTGTCTTGGGCTAAGTGTCCAGCTTCCGCTTGGGGAATTTCCGGAGATTGGCTTTCCACCACTCGCTGTCGAACCTCATTCAGAAGTGATTCCTGCTCCTCCTTGACGCCCATGTTTCCGGCATCACGCAGTGCGAGCGCACTCATCGCGGCCATCAATGGCTCTTGGGTCTTCTGCATCTGGGCCATCGAATCTTTCACTTCGTGGATGGCGGTCAAAGCCACCTGCGTCGTTCCAGACGTCGATGAACGTGACGAGCGACCTGATCTGGCAGTGCGTTCGGAATACTTGGAGCTCACGGACGGAGTCCGTTCTCGACGTGGTCGGACGTGTCCACGGCGACTTCGAGAACGTCGTCGGCGTCGATGCCTCTCGTCATTCGAGTCATCGTCTGAATAATTCGATCTCCGACTACGACTGCTTCTTCGCTCTTCTTTTGGAAGTCGTCTTGGATTTCGTGGTGGTTCAGGATCCGACATCTCCACGTCGTGTTGTTCAACCTCCAAAGGTTCTCGTCCGCGATCTTCCGGAGGGATGTACGTCTGAACGTAGCCTTCAATCGGAACGGTTCCGCCAGTTTCTTGAGAAGTCATCACTCGCGGCATCACACCACCGAATGGCATATGTGTTCCAGCACCGATTCCGAAGGACCATTCTGACAATCCAGACGCACTGTCACGCGACACTCGACTTCCGGACGTCGCAATCGGTAAAGATTCATCCGAACCTCCCGA